TCTCTCTCTTTCTCTCTTTCTTTCTCTCTCTTTCTCTCTTTCTTTCTCTCTCTTTCTCTCTCTCTCTCTCTCTCTCTCTTTTTTTTTTCTCTTTTTCTTTCAAAACGTCTCTCCATCTTGAGTAACACTAGTGTCTAAACTATTCTTAGGATTTTTTCCCAAATGAGTATTCTGTAGTTGATCTGGCCCAACTGAAGAATTCTATGATTTTCAAGAACATACTTCAAATTCAGGGGTACTTCAAATGAAGCCCCTGGCACATTTTCAAATTTTTTTTCAAAATTCCAATTTTTTCTGTGAATTCCATCTTAGAAAAGAGTGAAATGCACTTTCAAAGTTTGCATAGGTCCAGTTTTTTTATGAACTTTCAATTTTTGAAAACTATAATAAATTTTTTTTGATAACTATAAGAAATTTTAATTTTTTCTGCGTGGTTCTAAAACTACAACATTGAAGATAGATGTTTTTTTCAAATAAAATTTGAATGAAAAATGAACCCACAATTATTGTTTAATTATAATCATGTTCATTGTTTTCAAAGTTTTAGTAGTTTTGGGACAATTTTGAGTGAAATATGTGCAATTAAAAAGTACTAAAAACATGGTTTTCTCACAAATGCCGCCAAATTTTTTCTTCAAACTTAAGACATACTATGAATAGTGTTAAACAGGGTGTAAGGTGGCCAAAATGCCAGTTTGCGGTATTTTTTTGTTTTTTTCAAAAATTATACAAAGGTAATTTTTTTGTACTCTCTTACTCATTAATATTTATGTTACTAGCGGTTTGTACATGCTTTTGCGAATGTAATATAAATGCTTCAAATATCTTATATGAGGTTTCTTTAAAACTCAACACTTTTTTGTGAAAATTAGCTTCAAGTTGAACATTTTCAGAAATACTCAAATGACTTTTCTAAAAAACATTTTAACATTTTTTCTGTTAACTTTTTGAACAGATTGTGCTAAATGTACCAAATAAAGTGCCATTAACACCATTTTGATTTATTCTCTATTATTTTTTCAAAATAATGCAAATGTCATTTTTAAAATTATTATCACATTAATATTTTCATTACGGACATTTTTTTCTAGTATATTGCGAGTACAATTACTTCTTATGAAGTTTCTCAAAAACTTTAAAGTTTTGAGTAAAAATGACCTTCAATTTCTGCATTTTTAAAACAGTCTAATGACATTTTCAGAAAGGGTCTAACGACATTTCTTAAAAATGATGCCAAATTTTTGAATAGAAATGTCCTTATATGACCATATTTTACTCTTTTCAAATATTATTCTTCAAGTCATATTTCAATTGTACTAAGTGTTACAAAATGATAAAATTAACTGGTGCAAATATTTTGTTGTCAATCATTTTCAAACAATAACTTGTCATTTTTGGCATAACAGAAGATGAATTGCTGAGATAATCTAATGAACATATACAAATCAATTATTTTTACTTGCTAATCACTGGACATTTTTGCCTGTTGTTAGTTTCAGTGGTCTTCCAGAACATTTTTTAGTTCCCCAGTCCAGTTTCAAAAACTTATTAATCACATAGTGATTTGCTGAGTCTTCGTACAATTTCTTGCGAATATGGTCCCTCTTCCTTTAAAGCACTAATACACCCTTTCTTGAACTTTGTCAAGGCTAATTTCTGACCCATTTCTCATCAAATTGTCACTGTTACATCAGCAGTATAACTGATAATACGATATTCACTAATACTTGTGAAGAGAGCAAGCAAATAACACCAGTCTTGCATAAATACTTCAGAGTTACAGATTAAGTTTGAAAAACTGTTTAAGTATAAGCAATAAAAATTAACACTGTTCCTATAATGACAGAACTTTTTACCTCTGTGATGTAAAAAGATGAAGTTATCTGAGGTTGATTATGAAAATGGTTGGAAAGTTGAAACAGAAGACAATGAAATTGCATGTGTTGAGAATATGCTATTCACATGCTGTTGGTTGTCTTGATTGTGACTACTGATTTTTCGATACTGGACCAGAAAAATGATTTCCGTAGTAATAAAGAGTGGCTGATAATCAAGAACAAAGATTTAAAATGGGGCAAAAGATGCAAGGAAGTGGGGATACTGTGGCCAGAAAGAGACAAGGAATGGACATTTCTTTACAGTAGTTGGCATTTTATCATCATGCTTTAGAGAAAGCAAAGCAGATAAGACGACATCTCTTGGGGTGGGGGGGATGTTGATACCCAATGAAAGTTTACCTCATCTACCTGTGTTGAAAATTGTGTTTGCAGCATGTGAAAAATCATTGACACCTGTCTATATATTAAAGCGTTGGAGAATGAAAAGTTATGGTAATGTTTTTAGAATTGCCTAGTAAGTTGCCAAAAGAAATCTATTATTTAATGATTTTGAGTCAGAAATTGATGTTTACAAAACTAAATGGAGTTGACCTGGGTTGTATTCTTCATGCCAGGTTTGTGTGTGTCAATGTATTGAATTATATAGCTGCAAAAATGAAAGTCAAAGTCATAATAATGTAATTGAATTACAAAATTTCCCTTATATGTGAAAAAAATTCAACTGTCATAGGTAGAACATTGCTACCTGATATGCAGGAACCGAAGTTTTTTCTTTATTTAATTGAGGAAGAATTTGTATAATCTGAAAGTATAATTCATTTCTGTAATAAATAATTTAAAGTCTTGAGGTTTTTACCATGAGTTTTTTAATGAAAATGTAATTTTTGTTGACATAGCAGTTACATTGGGTCAGTAGAAAAGTGGAATTTACCTGACTGAAACAAGCTTTTTCATAAATTCTTTGTTGACATTATGTCAGCTGTAGGCTAGAGCTATCTGTTGGGATGTTATAAGAAGAGATTTTACTTCAGAAGTTGATCATATTAAATTATTTTTTGATATGCTATGCATTCTCTGCCATCAGACACTGAAGAATGCTCAAGAATTAAGATGATCTGCAGAAGAGCTTGATCGCAGATTGTTAACATTGGCAGTTTTAGGTGGGTTGCTTCTAGCTCTAGATGTGTTTTGGCAATGTGGAAGGATTATGAGTTTCTCATTTCTAGTGTTAGTGGATTTCTCTTTTCTAATGCTACGAGGGATGTGACCAGAGGCAATGCTGAGAATGTATGAATGTCTTCTGAAGAAAATCACCATAATTTATCATTATTTTGACCCTGGATGTAATGTGTGAAGCTGCAAAAGTTGTGTGACTTCAGTTTAGAACTGCTGGCTCGTGATACTTCCACAGAAAATTAAAAACGTAACTCAAAGTGTTTGAAGAGAGGAAAGTTAAGAGAGGGCAATATTATAATGTAGATCTTAATGCAAAAGAAAAATCAGAGCTTAAGGGGAATTCTCTTGAAGAAAAAAATAGAAAGAAATGTTCTAGTGAGAGTCCCATTAATCCAACATTATTTTATGAAAGCCTGTCAGCCATTCCATTTGTTACAGACTTGGTAATAAAAGTATGCTAATAAAAAAAAAAAAAAAAAATAGTCTTGAATGGTGAATATATGCACTTCATGTGCTAAAGCTCTATTCATTTGTTGCTGGTCAGATTA